GGTGGGGGCAGGCGAGGGGAAATGGGGACGACGAAAGAGCAGGAAAGGGATTCAACAGAATCAACCACCCACCACCCCCAACCGACCCGTCTGCTCCTCCGGGAAAGCTCCTAGCGCATCCTGTAACAAAAGAGGGTGGCAGACAGAACCCCGGGCGGGCAGACAGAACCCCGGGCGGGGAGGTGCTGCCGCAGCTCCCCTGCACACGCCCTGCACCCTGCCGGCCACTGAGCCTGATTCTCAGCTTGCCCCTGCGCCACTCCGGCCGGGGCGTGGGCTGGGGGAGGGGACGCGCAGCTCAGGACCCGGAACGTCGCGTTCCAGTCCTGGGAGTTGAGACTCACCGCCCCGCGCCGCGTACCTGCGTTGGAGTCCCCCGAAAGGTTTTTTTCAGAAAAGACCTCGCGCCCCGGGCTCCTCTTGGCCAGCGCCCACCCGGTGGCCACCCCACCCTGGGCCTTTGCGCAGATGCTGGAGCTCCGTACGCAGCCCGCACATCTGGGACCCCGCCGGGCAGCGACGGGCACCCGGGCCGGGTCATCGCTGGGGATCTCCTCGCGGTATCGTCCAGCCTGTTCTCGGACTTTGAAGCGGTGGCGTGGGAGGCTGGGAGATCTGGGCACCCGCGCAGCCAGCCAGGTCGAAGTTTGAAGGTCCTACGACGGACCGAACCGCCCCATTACCCCAGAGTTTTACTCAGTGGTGGATGCTCCTGATGAAATTTGGGACGCTTGGGAGTTGAAGGGTAGGGAAAGGAGGGGCGAGGGCCGAGGGCATGGGGTGGGGGAGTAGGATTCTGCTGGTTGCTCTCCGCGGGAGTGGGTGCGCGTCCAGGAGGCGCTGCTTCTTTGCGGGAGTTTGGCTGCTGCGTTCGTTCGTCGTCTGCGCTTCAGATGCATAGCAGTGAGACCCCTGCGTCGAACGGTGTCGGGGCTGTGGACTAGAAAGGATCCCTTTTGCTGGAATCGAGGCTCGGGTGGGATTCCCGGTGGGGGAAACACCAAAAATACCGTCTGGCCTCGGCCTCTGGCGGCGGGCGGCAGGTTCTGAGTCCGAATGGAGGCTGCTCCCGGGAGCGCCGGGCTCAGAGCTGGAGAGCTCGGGAGACTGTGCGCCTGTGGACTTGTTTATGTGTGTAAAGAGGTGGGGGCGGGGGCCTGCCGAGAGGGGAGGGGAGCCTGCCAGGGGTGGGTGTTTCTCCTGGAGCCTGATGTTTGTAACTCAGCTGATTATGGAGTGTACTGAGCGACCTGCTTTTTAAATAAAGAGATGCCCGCTCCTACCCCGCAAAACCGCGAGCGAGGAAAACATGGAAGCGCTCTGTCCTGAACGTCAGGATGGGAGAAAGTTGTAACACAGAGGAGACTTTTCCGGCGGTCCTGTTTTCACAACGCTCAAGTTCTCCAGCAGACTCAGCCTGCCTCCCGCCTGCCCTCAATTCCTTTCTGACATGTCACACAAAGAAAGCTGAGAGGTAGCATGTAGAGGATAAAATGCAACCGCCTCTGCCTTGGGCGCAAACACACAGACGTGGGTATCGCGTTAGGAGTTAAGGGGGTTGGAAAATAATGCTCCTGTAGATGGTGTTGAAGGGAGGTAGAAAGTCTGGGGTATTTCCCCTAGGGAGAGTGTGTGGGATTTTGTATTGGTGAGGACTGGAGTGTAGCTGGACTTAGAGGGTTTGGTCGTGTGTGAATGGGATCTGCTTATCTGTGGAATGAGATTGTGACCATTGAGTGCGTGGTCAGGGAGGGATGGGGATGTTTTTTCAGAGAGAGAAAGAGAGAGAGAGTGTGTGTGTGTAGGGGGAGGTGGCAAAAGAGCTGGAGTCCCATCCCTCTCTGGTGCCTGGGAGGTGTGTGCTTCTGGGGAGTCTGTTGGATGGGCATCTGTGTGCTTAGCGGGAGACCAGAGCTTGCAGGAACATAGGTGTAGCTAATGCGAAATCTGTGCCTATGAAGGGTGTCAGAGCAGGAGGAGAGGTGAGCCTGTTGAAGACAGATGGCTTGTGCATGCCTGCGCAAACACATGGAGTGGGTGTGGTGTAGGAGGGCGGCTGTGTGTGTGAGCGAAAGGTGGATGCATGTGGAAGGTTGGGCGCCTGAGGATTACCAAAGGGATGTGTGTGGGGGGTGGGGGAAGATTATCTGGGGAGCACGGAGTGTGAACTTTATGAGAGTGTGCTGGGAAATTTGGCGGGAGTGGCATTGGGGCATGTAGGGGGTAGAAAAGTGTGAGCTCAGATCCTCTTTATGGAGAGACAAAGCATTTGAAGGAAAGGACACCGGGTTGGGGTTGGTATTTACCTCCCCCCTCCTTCCTCCCCAGAGAGGAGAGAATTGGAGGAGGCTTAGAATGAGGGATGTACATTTAAGGGGAAAAGGTCCTTGCGCGCTGGCACTGGGTGGGAACAGGAAGAGATGTATGCGTAAGACTGAAGTAAGTAGAGGAATACACTATTCGTGCCTAGTGTCAGGGGTGCATGTTGTATAATGTTTTGTAATGAGTTTCTTATGTAATAGAGGAATTCACTATCACCAGTTCATATTGATAATCAATTAAAGCTAATGGAGTGCCTACTGGATGCTCAGCCCATTGCTGGGTACTGGAGCATGGCACACTGCCCTGGAAAAATTCCTTCTCCAGGCTCAGCTAACTGATGCAATTTTGCCAGAAATAGACAGAGCTCGATGCTTGTTGAGGTTTCTTCAAGGTCTATAATTCGGTTTCTAGAGATGTTTATGGATCTTGGGAGCCAAAGGGAAGCTGACTTGAAATACATCTCTGGTTTTGTAAAAAGTGGGGCATGAAGATAGGGATGATGTAGACTTTTGTGTATTGGGAAGGGAGCTGGATGGTGGTGTTTCTTGTGTGGGGTGTGGGTTGGGAACTGGAGGGTGTTGCACTTCAGGTCAAAATGCAGGTCCAGACCCCTTTGAAGATTCAGTTTCTAAGAGTACACAGAGCCTTCTTCATAGCTGGAATGAGACTTGTTATGTGGAGCTGGAGAATGGTGAAGTCATGATCAGGGAAGAGATGGACTGGGGACGTTTGTCATCTTTGGTGTTTTCCGGACTATGAGTGCAAAGCTAATCTGAGTGTGTGTTTGAGGGGTGGTGTGTGTGCACGTGTGTGCATATGCACTTTGGCCTGGAGTAATGTAACTGGGAGAAAACCAGCCAGGTGGATAGGAGGGGTGGATATTCTGGCTCTGGTGAAGGGGGTGCCAGTATGTGTTTTTACAGGAATTCTGTGTGTCTGAGGAAGGATAAAAATTGTCTTGGATACTCAGATGTGCATCTCTAGCGAAAAAAGGTGTACACAAAAGAAGGGCCATAGACTTTGGGGAATGAGAGAAAGGTGTAGTTGATCGAGTCCATACCCTGAGATGACTAGTGAGGCAACTGGATAGGAACAGAGTGAAGGCTGTGCTTTCGTGATGCACATGTCTATCTGTCTGGACCAGATGATGGGGAGCCCCATTTGATTAGGTTCTGACCATGGTTGGGCGTATGTTTGGGAGGACTTTATTTGACTCATGACATTTTTGAATTCATGAAGTTACAGCTGTGCCATTTTAAGGGTCTACCTTAGTTTTTAGGGGGAAACTCATCTGTATAAGAGATAGTTTAGTGGGGCTTGACTATTGGTCAGAAGATGGGGGACAGATATTTCTGAGGGCAGGGTGGTGAAGTGGAAGACTTTGGATTGGGAATGCCTTAGTTCTAGTTCAGTTCTATCATTTGGGAAAAGTGTGACTTTGAGGACCTTTTTAATCTCTTTAACTCTGCTTCTCTTTTTGTAAAGTGGCAATATAATGATTCAAGGAGGAGGAAAGTTCATTCCTCTTTTCTCCCATCAAAACTTGGTGTGTTTAGTTGTATACAGCTGTACAAAGATGAAATGTAATTAAATACCGGTGCTAGCATGTACGTAGGTCATTGCGAAAATAGGATCTGGACCTCTTTCTCTTCACAATGCAACTTAATCAGTAGTCATGATGCTCATCGCATCTCTACTGCTCACTTGCTGTGTAAATAAAACTTTTTATAACTGCCTCAGTTTACTCACCCAGAAGCTGGAGGCAACCAAGCCTAGATTATAGATGATGGAAATCTTTAAGATCTTTGAGCTATTCGGAGGAAAGGTAGTCTAAGAATCAATGTTATTAATGATCAGAGACAGACATTTCTTTATTTTTAACATCAGCTATGCAGACCACAGCACCAAAACAAATGTGACTTGGAGAACAGCAAAAATAATAATTGTCCTTGACATAGGCACCATTTGAATAAAAGAGGAGCAAAGTCCAGCCTGCCTGGTAAGAGGAAAGCCTGGGCTTTGGGTCTTTGCAATTCCTTGTGCCCAGTGCAGCAAGTTGGTTACAGCCGCTTTCCCCAGAGATGAAGATGGAGGCGCAGGGGGGCACGGAAACCCACTGAAACCTCCAATTCCTCCCAGAAGTTAGCACATGCTGTCAACTCCTGGCTCAGAGTCAGGCTCCCATCCTTGAGTTCAGTGGCCATAAATAGGAGCTAAGCTATTTCCAAGAGGCACTAAACTAATTCTGTTGCTTTTCTTGGCGAGATTGGGCCAATTAAGTTGATTGGAAGAGGTCACTGCTGATGGGTCTCACATTCCCCAGGCGGGACAGGCCAGCAAAGTTTAATTACATAACATTTCCCATCTCTGCAGCTCTACTCCCAGATGTATCAGATGTTCAGGCCTCTCCTCTTCCCCTACATTCAGGATGCCTGATGGAGCAGGCGGCTTCTGCTGCAAGCTTCTCCAACCTTTTCCCAAGCAGTTACAGCACTCCCACCCCAACTGGAGGGAATGTAAATCTGTGCGTTGCCTGGAAGCCAGAGAGGACATGGGGGCTGACACAGAAGATCTTCAAAACCCACCACCCTGCCTCAAGCCTCAGCCGCTGCTATTTTACTCTTTAACAAGGCAGGCAGTTTCTGGCATTGGGGATGTTGAACTAATGACCGTTGCTAGGGTTTTAGATTTAGTTTTATTTAAAATTGAGTTTGTTGGAAAAGGGCCAAATCTTCTACTGGAGACAAGCCTAAGCCCTGTGTGTTGCTGCTGATAAAGTCTGTGGATGTACTTTGTGCGTGGACAGGTGTGTGTGGAGTAAGAGGAGACCACGGGATGTGCATGCGTGCGTGCTGGGGGACACGTGAGCACAGGAACTGCCCTGGGTAGACAGGGAGCATTTGTAGAGCTTATGTTATGGGTGGCAGGTATCTGGATGCTTGGCTCAGATTGGATTGTCATTGGATTGCTTGTTACAGGTGGGCCAACCTGAGAAAAAAGTTGGGGACACCTTCTTTCAGATCTTTTTTATATGGGCATGTTGAACTTTGAAGTATGAGGCCATTGTAGATATTACCTCATTCTTGCCTGGATGGATTTCTAGCAAGACTGAGGCTGGACAAAAAAAAAAAAAAAAAAGTCATTCAGAGGACTCATTTTAGAACCTGTGAGGACACATGTAGATGGCCTCAGAGTGTTAAAGTATTTTTGTTGTTGTTGTTAATAGTTTTCCATAACTCAGTCTTTTATTTTACCTACAAATACCGAGAGGCTAGAGGTTGCACACACCCCCACATGGTCAGAATGCATTTGCTCTT